GCTCCAGCAGCTCCGTGTCTGTCCTGTGCTGAGGACCCCAGAGCTGGGGGCAGCACCCCAGGGGGGGTGTCACCAGAGCGGAGCAGAGGGGGACAATCCCCTCCTTCGGCCAAGAGCCGAAACCCCCAACCCCATCATTCAGCTTCCTCTCCACTGGGGACAATCCACAAGCCAGGTTTCTATCCCTATTTTAGTGATGGCTTTAAGGAAGATGAAGCATCAGGACCAACTTCATAATATTCTCTGAAAACTAAACTGTTTCGGACTGCACTTTCAGAGGTAAGAATGCTTTCCACAGACGAGAGAAGCAACAGTGATCTGAGCTGGGTCGGAGATATCACACGAAGGATTTGCTATAAACCTGCCTCTCAACCTTGGAGGGAAGCCCCTTCAGCTTCAAAAGGTGCTCAGAAGGTTTTGGATGCCAGGTCCTCCTTGTTCCAGCCCAACAAATGACTGTAGCAGAAGGAACAGCAAAGACCTTTGAAACCACCCCCACCCCCAAATCTAGACTGTATTCACATTTTAACAGTTTCCCTAAAATTCATGGCCCAGAGACTTGTCAGCTTGACCAAAACCATCTCCCCCCCTCCCAGTGCATGGTTCCCTGTATCTTCTTTCTTGAGTCTTTATTGAGTGCCCCAAGAATTAGGGACTCTCTTAGGAAGGCTACTCCAATAAAAAACTTCTCCTGCCAAAAAAATCTCTCCGGACACCATCCACATTTTTTCCTGTGCACAATTTCATCCTTTTCTCTTAAGTTTATTCCTCCACCATCACCCTAGATCTTTTAATCATTTGCATATTCTATTATCCTAAAACAGGGAGTTCATTCTCCCCTTGGTGGCAGTTTTAGCTCAGACCACCCAAAAGTTTCCCACATTTGACCTATTTAAGACTATTCAACTTATCAGCTCTTCAGATAACACTACTCCTCTTCTCTGTACTCTATCTTTTAATATTGTTTTCCTCTGGGTAAAAAAACAAAAAAGCAAAACCCCAAACAAACAGAAAGAAACCACACCAAAAAAAGTATCCAGAACAGACCACAAGACCCTGTGTTTTATAGACTACTCATCCGAAACACCATGTAGTATTTATACTTTGAGCCCATGCTCCTCTCCCAGCCCCACGCCTGATGCTTTTTCACATTTAACCCATCCCATCCTTACCTCCAGTTCTCAAGAACAGTATTTTGGGACCTAAATGTTGTACACAAGGTATCGTGAGAAGTGGCTTTGAGAGCATCACTCAGGCTCAGCCTCTTGGTCTAGGGAGGTTTGCCAGCACCTGCTTGGACAGCAAACAGGCTGAATAAAAGATTTTCTCCAAAATCTCAAGGCACCCAAGCTGAACAACACCTTCATCAAGCAACGCTTCAATACCAATACCAGATTGGAGCTGACCTGCATGTGAGCACGTAAGCTCGGAGCAGAGCTGTGTGTGCACGTCCTATTCCTGCTCTCCGTGTCCCCTCGGTGGGAAACAGTCCAGCTTGCTTGCTTTTCCTTTCTCCTACAAGCAGCTATTTTACCTTGGAAAGATGCACTGCACCTGGAACGGTTTTCTTTTCCAGCAAAATTCATGGTGCACATGCGGATGTCAAGCAGCACATGGGAGGTCTGAGAACGAAGACCACTCAGGAAACACTACTGAAGGAGTAACTCCAAGCCCCAATCTCTCATGGACCTCAAAATTCCCCACTGACCTTCTGCAGAGGCAAGGTGCTGCTAATATGTATCGTTAGAGAGGCTGCATCCTCGTTCCTTCTGGGTTTCCTGCAAGCACAACCCATAATTTGGGGAAATCAAGTACTCATGGTTGGGAGAGGAGCAGGAGAACCCTTTCTTATTCATCTGTTCAGATCCAATCAGAACAGGTTTCACACAATTCTCAATCTCCTTAAGCCAGCAGGAAGAGTCCAAAGCT